ATTTTACTTTTGAAAAACAAAAATTGTTTTTTTCACTTATGACAGAAAGTTTTAAACATACACAAAAGCAGAGAAGATAGTGCATACAATGCACAAAAGTACAGATAATAGTATGAGCCTTCCCTCATCCCCAACAATTACCAACATACAATCAATTTTGTTTAATCTTTATCGCCACCCTCATCTCCCATTGGGTCATTTTAGAGCAAGTCTCAGATATATCCTTTCATCCAAAATATTTCAGTATATATGTCTATGAGATAAGTATCTTATAAAAGTTACCAAAGTAATATTCCCATCTAGAAAATTAGCAATAATTCTTTAGTATAATCAAATATACAGTCAGTATTCAAATTTCTATTACATACATAATTTTTATAGTTTGTTTATTCAAATCAGGATCCAAATAAGACACATACTTTGACTGATGTCACTTATTTTCTTTAATCTAATCACTGCCCTTTTTTCCATTTATAATTTTTTTTTTTTTTTTTTTTTGGCAGCTGGCCAGTATGGGGATCCAAAGCCATGATCTTGGTGTTGCCAGCACCATGCTTTCCCAAGTGACCTACCTGGCCAGCCCTATAATTTATTCTTTTAAGAAACCAGGTGTATCCTGTAGGTGATCCCACAATTTGCTTAGGCCCAAAACTTGGAGTAGTATCATGTGCTCTGTCTCTCACCCCACATGCCACCTGTCAACAGCCCATCAGTCCTTCCTTCTGAATAAATCCAGAATTCCATTACTTCTTCTGCTGCTACCACTCTAATCCAAGCCACAGTCATCTCCCATCTAACAGGCAGCTGACTGAAGCACTAGGACCCCTCACTTGCACAGGCTGCTCACAAGATCTTCTACCCAATTTTGCATTTGTAATTTTGTAGTCTTTTTTCTTCAAGAGGACCTTCTTTCCTGAAGGCTGAGGCCCCACAAGGTTGAGGCCCCACCAAACCTGGAGTGATCCCTGTCCCTAGACTACTGTGGAAGTCTCCTAACTGGTATCACTGATTCCTATCTCAAGACTGTGTTCGTGTAAAACTGGAGCCAGAGTGATCTCATTAAAGTGAAAATCAAATCATGCTCCGTCTAAGCTCAGAACTCTCCCCCGGCTTCCTATCTCACTTAATGTTTTAAACCATAGCCTACAAGATCCATAGCCTACAATATCAAGCATTCTTCCACTTTGGGGCCTCTGTCCTTCCTCATCTCTCTACCAGGAAATGTGCTTAACTGTGCACTTCATTTGCTTCTCTTTTCAGAAGTGACCTTATGAGTCTGGACTTCCCTTGCCTCCTTGTCCAATACAGCCCCTCATCTCATGTCACTACTTCTTTCCTGCCCTACTGCAGCTATGGTCGTCACCCTCCTGCCTCAGGCCTTTGTACTCCTTTTCCCTCTCTTGTGACATTCTGCCCCCAGACATCCACGGTCAGCCACTGTCATCGCCTTCCTGTCTTACTCAAACGTCACCTTCTCCATGAGGCCTTTCCGACCACTCTCTTAAACGTAAAGGCCCCAGCACTCCGTCTCCCTGTCCTGCTTTATTTTTCTCCAATGCAGTTATCTACCATACTAAGATTTTGATCATTTATCTTGCTTATTATCTGTTTTCCCCCAACTTCCAAGTAAAATGTTAAGTTCCACGAGGGCAAGGAATGTTGTTTGCTTAATGTTCTATCACCAACCCCTAGAAAAGCGCCTGCACATAGTAGGAGCTTAATAAATATTTGTCAAATGAACGAGGCACCTGTCACGAGCTTACACCAAGCTTCCCCTCCACACCATTTGAGATGTTCCAGTCATGGAGATTCAGCACCACTTAAGGACTCTGAGAAGCTGCAAAGAGAGTACACGAATCTGAGGGGAAACGTGTCCTTGTGAGAGGCCGGACAGACAGCACACAGCACGCGCCAACTTGCCGACTTCAGAGTCTGCGGCTCCCTCATGGTCGTGTTGCGCAGAACCAGCTTTTTCTCCCTCGAGGACTACCAGAGCCTCATGCCTGGGCCCACCAGCGCCAACTAAAGCTCGTCTCTGAGGGAATCGCGGGGTCCTCCGCGGCTGGCGCCGGGCTTCTCCAGCGTTGGCGGGAAAAGCGGATGGGCGCGGGGTACGCCGGGAACGTGAGGCGCGCGGGGCGTGCCGGGGCGGCTCCCGAGGAGTGTCAGGCAGGACTCGAGGAACGCGGAGGGAAGCGACCCGGGGTGAGGGGAGGCCAGGCCGGCCGCACTCGACCTACCCTCCAGGCATCCGCTTGAGGGAAACAGAGGGGGAGCGAGGGAGGCCCCTGGAGGCCTTGCCGCCCGTCCAGCCTTGCCTCAGCGTGAGGGAGAAGCCCGACGCATCAGCGCCTCAGGAGGCGGCGGCCTTGGAGGCATTGCTTTCACGGTTTCTACAACCATGTTATCAATTTCATTTTCCTCTGCTATGAAGCAGTCCCAGTAGGGAAGGGACTAGAGGGAGCGAGTCGTGGTTGCTCTTGGGGCGGGATCGGGGCGGCGCCCTGACAAGGTCGGGCTCTGCTTTCTGGAGGAATCCGTGTGTGTGGAATTCACACGTGTCCGTTTTGACCGGCGCTGGTTCTAGCTTTTGGATGAGGAAAAAAATATTCATCCGTAAAAGGCCATGGGTTCCAGTTTTCAGGGCATTCTGTTTAATCAGAGATGTGTAGAACCGCTTTTGAAAAGTGTATTTAAGCTACATAAAGACCTTGGATGTGTTTTCACCCAATTCCATCACTGTAGATAAGAAAGTGAGGCCCACAGAGGGAAGGTAGCAGCCCGAGGGCCCCGCAGCCGTCTGTGGAGCTGGCACTGAAATCTGACCTCCGGTCTGTTTTTCCTTCAAAGGGGCCCCACAGAGGTAGAAATAGATGAAGCCCCGGATGGGCCGAAAGTTCGGAGACGCCAGTTCACTGACTGCTCGACCTGGGCGCTCACAGTGAAAGTTTTGCCTTGTTTGGGTTCTCTGAGTCTCCAGATACAGAATTTTGTAAGTTTCTTTTGCTGTTGTCCACACTTAATTCCCAGCCCTGCTGATGACTGAGAACAAAGCTGAGTAACTGGGACGGAAATGTTGTGGAGCTATTCTCTGAACAATATATGTATAATTTGTTTGTGTATATTGATAAGGTTTGGCCCAGGTTTTGGGCTTTGCAATATCGTTCTAATACAATATAGGAAAATAAACCAGATTTGTTTTTGAATCTGCAAGTTTTGCCAATTATGAATTTTTTTAATTTTAAAAGTAATTTGAATAAATAAATTCCTACCTATCCTTGAACAGATCAATGTTGTTTACATACAATTTTCGGATCAATGAGTCTTTCCAAGTTGACAAAAGGGAGGACTGCTCACAGGAATTTTTTGCTTACCTGGGATTTAGATCCTTGCTGTAAGATAAAAGGAAAAATGAGATAGAAAGTAATTTCAGTGGGAAATATGTTTTAGAAATGAAACTAACAAATCCCAAGCTTTAGCCCATGTCTTTGACCTATTTCCTTTAAAATATGCACAATTGTCCTGGACTCAAGCTGTAATTAATCTTTTGCTTTCTATCTTACCTGATTTATTATTGATGCCCTCTACTAAAACTACTGAAACACTTCAGATGAAGTGAATTCAAATTGTGAATTGTTGTTGCCTTCGAACTTTGTAAATTTTTTATTTTTTTTTACTTTTCACAAAAAAGCAGTGAGGGAAGGGATATTTTTATTTTTAATGATACCAGAAATCATCTGATTAAATATTTAACAGCTTGTGTGAATTTGTGTGCTTTCATTTTTAGAAGAACTAAGTGGTTCTCTAATGATGAAAATTTCAAACACTATGGTGTTTGAGTGAGGGAGATGTGTTAGAGCCAGAAGGGCATTGCCAGCATTCCTCAAATGGCACCACAAAGGCATTTCGTTACTATGGTCGGACAAGGCTGGTCACACTCCAGATTCCTGGGCTAGTAAGAATATGTGTTTGCTTTTTTTCTTAAGGAGAGAAACTATGTTGATGTTGAAAAGTTTAAAGTACTAGAGTCCAAGTTACCTTCTCCCGATGTATTTGTGTGTGTTAGAGTACTTGAGCTTCAATATGTTGCTTTACTTTTACATTCCAGTTTTCTTTTCTGTAATATATAATGTAGACTTCAAAGGTATACACTGTGAATTATCAACTGTGGAATGTGTCCCAAATAGAATTTTAAAGCCAGATAATTTAGTGGAAAAGAAAATCAGGTAACAATTAAGAGATCTCAGTAAACCTTTTCTTTCATGTAAAATGAAGAGCAATTTATTCCTCAAAACTTGAAGTGCTTTACAGAGATAATCTAATGCAGCAGAAGACTTTTGCTATACATTTCGATTTTTTGGAAATTATTATTGTCATAGGAAATATTTTGTTTTTCTGAAAACAAAATGAAACTTAAAAATAGCCATCCCAGATCAGCCAAGTGCCAAAAATAAAAATAGCCAGGAGTAACCAGGAATGATAGAAGAAATTTATTAAATAAGCACAATATGTTATGATAGAAACATAACTAATACCTAGAGCAGAGTAAGCATTTCATAAACAGTAGCTGGTGTTTTGTGTTAGTATTCGGATTATTCTGTGTGTGCTATAGAACTGCAGGTTTAATACTCTAGATTATCTTTGGAGTGATGAAAATGTTCTATAATATATTTCAGTGTTGGTTGTGTAACTGAATGTAATAAAAAAAAACATTGAACTGTACACTTTGAATGGGTGAGTTGTGTGTTATGTGAACTATATCTTAATAAAACTTGTACCAAAAAATCCTAGAAAATCATTAGGAAACCTTAAAGGTTAAATGTCAGTGATAACTGCCAAAGTGTGCTAACTAATTTGTTTTTGTTGTCTTATACTAATGTAGTATCAAATATTATGTTCTTAGTTGGTATTGAAATCCTATTGGTAAGATGGTTTACTTCCTTTTATCCCTGTTTGTTTTTAAAGGCCTGATTGCTGAGACAGTCAGTCAGCAGGAAAATATGAATGATTCTAGGCAGCAGTCACTGTTCTTCATCACACTTCCAGATTTACACAAACTCTGTGCTATCAGGATAATATTGAATAATGGTGTGGCAGATACTGCGATTAGGAGTACACAAATGAAGATGTGCAGGTAAAAAAAACCTCTTATAACAGAGGCTTTTCAAACTTTTTAATACCTATTAGAGCTGCTTTAGATGGATTTCCTTTAAAGAAAAATACTCATTCACTTAACTGTGTGTATAATTTTATGAATTTTAAAATAAAGGAATTGAGTTTTGTTTTGACCAAGTATATTGGATTACATTTAAAGAGAAACTTACAATACTTGAGTTTTTATATATTTATTTTTTATTTGTGACCATTTATGTGCTTTCCTTAAATTTAAACTCTCTATAGACATTCATGAATTAAAATCAGGCTCCCCAAAGCGTAGAAATACTAATTTATAAATATTTACTGAGTATTTGTTGTCATGGGGGCACTTAGAAATACTACACACATTTTACATTAGTATAGTTTTTTAAATTTTCAACTCAACATACAACAGTGAAGAGTGTTTCTCTAGGAATTGTCTCAAGATATCTAACCCAAGATATTCTTTGAAAAACAGTTTAGTAGAAGCCTAAAGTATAATTCCATGATTACTGAGGACCTATTATGTATTAGTCCCTTAAATTGTTTGAGGCAGTCAAAGAACTTCTCATAGAACACATGACAAGATTATATCTTTAACTGAATTTCTTGGAGAACAAACACCTGTAAGATTGCTGGGGCCAGAAAGGAGGAAGACACTCTTGGGGTATCCTCCATTTTCCCCTTACTTATAAAATTTTTCTTTGGCTTATTGCATATTTTCCCACCCAAGAGCGTTAGGGAGCTCTTACCCTTCCCACTAAGTTGTAGTTTGATATCTATTGAAGACTTTCCTGTGGCCCCTTCAGGAAATACTAAAATAGGTAGAAAACCTTTAAGTGAATTTTCTGCTATTTGCCATTGAATTGAAAGTGGCCATACCCACAGAATGAGGCTGTCTTAACTCACTCTCCCAGTAAGTGAAAGCCTATAACACTGAACAGAAACCTAGCTTTGTTCCACAAAGGCGGGCCTTGCAAAAGCAAGTACCTGCTACAGCTGGGTTCCAACAAATGTGAAGCCACCAGAAACAGGTTGGCCCATCTTGTTTTTTGAGATAAACCCATACATGGTACCTGTGGTTATTTTAATTTGTTTCTTTGATAATTAGTAATGTTGAAAATTTTCAAATTTCCAGCTATTTATTTTTGTATTTTTCCTATCTTTTCCCTGAACTTTGAACAAAATTATTGATGGTAATTTGAATTTTCATGAATTTTGTTTTAATTTCATTTGGCTGTTGAAAACTAAACTAAAACCACTACCTACTTCTTTCTGGCTTGGGAAGAATTTCCTTTTTGAAGGAAAAGAATCTAGTCTGTAGTTCTAATTTTCAAGTAGTTGATAATTTCACTGATTGGTAAATCTTTAGACTCTTGTCTCTAGTGCCTCCTGCCCACTACCTTAAAAAAAAAAAAAAAAAAATGGAGGAAACAGAAGTTAAAAGAGATGGATTCCTCATTGTTTAGACTTCTTAAGTATATATTTAGGACAGAAATAGAGTTTTAAAAGAGGAATTTAGGTTGACAGATGAAAGAGGTTGGGAAACTCAGATGTAGGGACAATTCTCATTAATTTCAGTATCTAAAACTTCATAATTCTCTTAATTCAAGTGTTGACTGAGTCCCTACAATGTCTAAGATTCCATGCTAGTGTGTGGGTAGATACAGACGTCTATAATCCTTGCCTAGAAGAAAATTAAAATTTTAACTAAGCAAATATTTTAAATATTCCAATAAAGTGAAAACACAGACAGAGGGCAAGTCTACTTTGAAATTAATACATTTCATCTCCACAGGCAATTGCTACTTTTGCATCAAGATATTCTTACATCACCTGTGCCTGGAGTATTAAACCAAATTTGGGTGGTGATGGCGGTTAGTATTTTAACATTTTATGAAATATTACTGATTATTGGGAGCAATACTTATAGACAACAATTTAGGTATTATAGCTGCAACTGGGGATGGCTTATAAGGATGAGTCACAATGTGTCATAGTTTTATCAAACCATTAATAGACTAACTTTGATATGCCTGGATGTTAAAAATCCATTTTCCTGGTTCTAATTTAATATTTAGTTTTCTGTCTTAAGTGCTGAAATAATAGACTATTCATTGAATAAAACTTAGTATTTTTTAAGATAACATGGGCTCAATACCTTTTATTGTATTATATTCTTTAGAATTATGCATAATACAAAGAACAAAGTTTCCCATTTCAACAGATCTACAACCGTTTTTAACAAACTTAGATCAATGTTTTTTAAATTTGAAAATTTTATTAAAAAAAATTTTTACACTTACTAAAATTAGAACTGGAAACATATTTCCCAATACTGTATATAACTGAGAATTATAATAAAGTGTCAAAAATCTTTATTAAAATTATATTATCCTGAGATTTTTGTCAAAAATCTTTCTGAAAATCCTGTTTTTCTGAGATTTTAATTCCCCAGAATCCAGTGAAATCAACATTTATTAGCAATGCTAGTAAGTCATCCAAAACCTTCAGTTCTTTTATTTTTCTTCTAGGTCTTTGTTATATGTCCATCTTTTATCTTCTTATCCTTAATATAGTTTTTAAGAAAGACAAGCTGTTGGTGAGCAAGTAGATTAATATCTCTTATTTGTGTCCTCTCCTACCTGAAAATCTTTATGTAACAAGCAGGGACATTGTTTTAAATTTCTAGCAAATTCAAGTATCCTAATCTTTATAACATTAGGATATATTAGATATAACATTCTGCAAAAAAATTACAAAAATAATTAAAGTAGAAAATGAGGTTTTTATACATACTATTTTGGAACTTTCCTTTTATTTTCTCTTTAACAGATTTTCCTGGAAATCTTCCTATGTCACTACATATATTTTTTCCATTTTTAAGACTGAAATATTTCATTGTATGGGTGTATAGTAGTTTATTACTTTCTAATGCACATCTGAGTTTCAAGTTTTGTGCTATTACAATCAGTGCTTCAGAAAGCATCATTGGAATTATATCATTTTTTATGTGTCCGATAGTTTCTATGGGTTAAATTTCTGTAAGTGGGATTACAGCACATTTTAAACTATAATCTAAACATTGCTAAATTTCTCTCCAAAAGGCTTGTCTGGATTGCATTTTAACAAATAGTGTATGAAAGAACTATTTTCCCACATCCCCATTAATGCTGGATATTAGAAGCCTTTAAGTATTTTTTAATCTGCTGGGTTAAAAATAATATCTTCCTTTAATTTGTATTTCTTTCATTAGTGAAGTAGAGCACTTAGGCCTTTTGAACTTGATCTTCCATTTGTGTTCATTTTCCTTATTCGTGTTTAAGGATTTATTATATATTAAGAAAGGTATTAAGTATTTATTATATGAAATTCACTGGCCTTTTCCTTTGTGTGACTTATATAGTCATGTCACTCTCAGAAAAGCTTTCCTCACTTTGAGAATGTGCCCACAGATTCTAGTTCAAGGGGAAGATGAACATCACTTCTTCTCCAAGGCATAGGAGCTGCTAGAATGATGGCCTGTTTCTATGCCTTCTGCTGGATAATGCTTAAAATCTTTCTGTATTGAATTATTTAATTACATATTTATGTTGTCTTTTTTATAAATGTGGATTTTTGTTACAGATAGCATTTTATAAAGCTGGAAAACTTAATGCCTATATTGAAAAATTTGGAGCTAAGGTAAGTTTTTTTTTTTTTTAGAAAAATTCATAAACATTTTTTTCCCCATAACTCTTTTAACTTTTATTTAATAGGGTAGAACATTATTAATTTATTTTTAAAATTTATTTTATTTTATTTTATTTTTTAATTTTATTTTGTCGATATACAATGTGGCTGACTATTGTGGCCCATTACCGAAACCTCCCTCCCTCCTCCTTCTCCTCCCTCCCACCCAACAATGTTCTTTCTGTTTGCTTGTTGTATCAACTTCAAGGAGTTGTAGTTGTTAAGTCTTCTTCCCCCCCCACACCGGATTTTGTGTGTGTGTGAATTTATTTATTTATTTTTAGCTCCCACCAATAAGTGAGAACATGTGGTATTTCTCTTTCTGTGCCTGACTTGTTTCACTTAATATAATTCTCTCAAGGTCCATCCATGTTGTTGCAAATGGCAGTATTTCATTTGTTTTTATAGCTGAGTAGTTTTCCATTGTGTAGATATACCACATTTTCTGTATCCACTCATCCGCCAAAATAGTATGGTACTGGCATAAAAA